CGTCGATCCTCGGACCTCGATCCTCGACTCTGGGATCTCGATCCTCGATCCTCGGACTTCGAATCTCGATCCTCGATCCTCGGCTTTCGATCCTCTTAACATCATCTCTTTCTCCTCCCACATGCTGGCCTCAACATTTATAATCCCCCCGCGCCCCCGAACTTTATTATCCCTGTGGGATTAATCTCGGCAGCACACGGTTATACCCCAACAAATACCCCAAAATTTCAAAAAATGCTCAAAAAAAAGTCCCCTGACTATCTTTTTACTATTCTTGAATCTTCCTCCTGTAGAAGGACGGGCCCGACTCGACGCTGGACCCCCGCTGCCCCTGGCGCGCGCCGGCGGCGAGGCCGGAAGCGCCCCTGGCGCCGGCCCGAGGACGCCAGCGGTGGCCCCTCCCGAAGGCGAGCGTGCGCCCGTGCGGGTGCCGGCGGCCCGAGGTCGGGGGCCCCGCTGGCTCCTTCCCCCTCCTCCTCCTCCTCCTCCTCCTCCTCCTCCTCCTCCTCCTCCTCCTCCTCCTCCTCCTCCTGAACCTCCTCCTCCTCCTGCTCCTCCTCCACAATTACACAATATGAATACTACTCTCCCACTTCCCCTGATGGCGTCCGGAAGATATTCGGCACCCCCCCGCGTACTGTTTTTTTACACACAGGATTCCCCGGAGTTGGGTTTTCGCTTGTGTTTTTTTCTCAAATGCTGCTCTCGCTGAGGCGCTGGCCTAATTTTCGGGTTCCCGCTCCTTCCGAATCGTGTTCCCGCTGCAGCGCTGGCCTCATTTCCGCGCTCCCGCTCGTTCCGAATCGTGCTCCCGCTGCAGCGCTGGCCCAATTTCTGCGCCTCTCGTTGTTCCAAAACGTGCTCCCGCTGCAGCGCCGACGTTTTCGATTCTTTTTAAGAAGCCCCAAATCTAGAAAATGATCCCCGGCAAAAACATTGGAGGTGATTACACATCCGGTGTCGATTCGTTGATTTTTGGGGCCGCAGAAAGCCCCCCCCCTTTTGGGCGGCGTCCCGTCTTCGTCGCCGGTCGTCCTCATCGTCGTCGTCGTCGTCGTCGCCGCCGTCGTCGTCGTCGTCGTCGTGGTCGTCGTCGTCGTCGTCTTCGTCGTCGTCGTCTTCGTTTTCATCGCGCCGTCGTCCTCCTCCTTTCCCTCTTAGGTAACAGGGTCAGATGCGAAGCCCGATTCGGTGAGAGGACAATGAAGTAGCTCAATGGGAAGGGATGGGAGGGAGGGGTAGGATGTCAGATGTTGACGCGAGCGCACCTAGCTTGTCAACCTCCCCCTCCCCCTCCTCCTCCTCCGCCTCCTCCTCCTCCTCCTCCTCCTCCTCCTCCTCCTCCTCCTCCTCCTCCTCCTCCTCCTCCCCCTCCTCCCCCTCCCCCTTCCCCTCCCCCTCTCCCTCCTTCTCCCCCTCCCTCTCCCCCTCCCCAGTCTCCCGCGGCCGCTGCCTCGGGGGCGTCCAGGAGGGGAGCGTGCAAGAGGGGGGGGGCGCAGATCATGGGCGGCGGCACGTGCGCGGCCCTGGGGGGGGGGGCTGGGGACGCACTGAAAGAAGAAGAAGAAGAAGAAGAAGAAAAAAAAGGAGAGGCGCCATGAAATTGGGGGAGATATCATGGCCCCCGCCATGAGATCCACCTCCCCCCTGGTCATCACCCCCCGCTGAGCCGCCCCGACTCATCTCTTCCCCCTCCTTCCCCTCTTGCATTCGGGCAATTCGCCATGCCGTCACCCGGCGTGCTCGAGCGCGCGTGCGGACTGCCTCTGCCGAGCTGCGACGGAACAACAGCAAAAAAAGAAGCCGGAGGCCCTCCGTTGCGGAAAGGGGGGAGGAGGGGGCGATAAAAGAGGGTGGGGGGAACGTGCACCGTTCCTGCCACTTCTGGCCCCAGGGGGCTTGTTTAGGACCCATTTTAAGCCGAAGAAGGGTACACTTTTCTGCGCCCCCCAGTGTCATCGGCTCCCCATCCCCTGTTGCACAACGCCCGAGCGATGACCCCCATCAAGCGTCTGTCTACTCTAATGTTGGTCGTGCGAGGTCCGGGGCCCTCCCCGCCCCCCTCCCTCCGTCTTCTGCCCCCCTTCGCCTGTATCCCTGGCTTCCGTGCACCATTCGGCGCCCGTGCTGACTCTCTGCTTGGGGACCAGCACCTATTCTGTCTTCTGCCGAGTCGAGTGCCTCGATCCTCCACCTGACCAGCCAGAGGTTGAATCAAATGCGCAATCTTGGACGCCAGGAGAAATTGGGATAACTGCGGTCCCGAGTAACTCCAGTTTGAGCCCACGAGGCGCAAATCAGTAGCTCCCACTGACTGCCCCCAGCCCCGATGATTCAAGGTTTCTGATCATCCCCTAGGAAGGATCCTCGGGGGCGTACAAAAGGGGGGCGGCCAAGAGGGGGAGGGGTGGGGGTGGGTGGGGGGGGGGGGGGGCAAATCATGGCCGGCGGCAGGGCGCGGCCCATGGAGGGGGGCCGCGAACGTACTGAAATAAGAACAGGCGCCATGAAATCCGGACCAACTTTCGGCATATTTCCAGCAAAGTGCCCCTCAGTGGGTACCCGTTGCGGTGACGCTGAGAGGGGGGCGGGGGCGTGGCCAGGGCGGCCCCGCCGAGAGGTGCGACCAGGCGCTCAGCAGCAGGTCCGCGTGGCGCTGCCGCACGTCCTCCTCCAGCCGCGGAGGGACGGGCCGTCCGCCCGATCGGGGAGCCCGCGTGGTCGAGAGCACGGACTCACCCAAACAAAGGGCCCCTGCAGTCCTGTGGGTGGGACCTGAGTTGAAGGGGGCAAAACGCATTGGGGATTGAGGGGTCCTGTTTCTGCAGAAATAACACATCAAACTGCCCAGAATCAGTCTCCCCACTGCGGAAACGGCGACCTGCGTATGGCAACGTGTTCATTGCGTGATCAGGGCTACTTTCATAAGGATGCGCGGTGAGGATGCAGGGGCCTTGGAAAGCCGTGCGGAAACTTTGATTTCTGTTTATGCAGTTTTGTATTATTCGACTACTGTGGCCGAGATTCCTGCGCATACGGGCGCCGGAGGAGCCCACTTCGAGCACCATGTGGGACCTGCTTGAAATTTGGATAGTAGCATACCGTGGACGGATCTACCCTTCTCCAACCTGGCCTCGTTGTCTATCGACGCATCCACCCCGAGTGTGTCCATATACGTAACGACGCCCAGTGTGCCTACAGACGCTCGTGGCTCGAAAGCGCGAACGGTATTTGGCATAGGCCCGAGATATGGCTCTGGAAGCAGGCAATACGATTTGGACGCCCGGAATGGGTACGGACAAAAAGGGATGCGACGTCCAACAGCAAATGCTGTCCAGAACCGACAGCTGCCGCTGTTGGGCAGGCGGCCTTCTGTCTCAAGTGGACAACGTCCGCGGCGGCTCGGACAGCGAGCCCTGCTCAAAATGAACAGGACCGCTGTTAGAAGAACAAATACGAGCTGTCGGCGCTCCACGCGGATTTCTTGGATCTGCGCTGGGCCCCCCTCCTCGGCGCGCGGAACGCGCCAGGGGCGGCGCTGGAGGCGCCGCCAGGAGGGCCCAGGCGCCGATCCAGGCAATGCGCGCGGAGCGCTGAAGGGTTATGTTTACACATTTTTCTTGAACCAAGATGGCCAGGTGAGCGTTTTTTGTTTTGGGGGGGGGAGCGAGGGACCGCGCCGATCGGCAAAACAATGAAAAAGAGAACGGCGACCAGGAACTTGCGTTCGAGCATCGTGCCCCTTCTTTCCGTACCTACAGTCAACCCGCATAGTAAGGATGGGCCACCTTTCCAAGGGCACCCTTGCATCCTTGCCTCCTCGGCCTATCCTTCGCCACTTGCGCTGGCCGCGCCCCGCTCGAAAAGCTTCGAAATGGGCGCCCAAGGCCCTTGCATCCTTATCGCGCATCTTTACTATACTGGTTGACTAATGGTGTCCGCGCCGGCCCAAGAGCCCACGCATACCGAAGAAAAAAAGGCGCCCGATGGGCGGGGAGACGCCCGCTGCACGCAGCAGGCTCTGCCTCCCTCCCCCCCTCCCTGAAGGGACCCAGGGACACACAAACGAATGGACACGAATCCCAAGATTCGCCATGCTTTCTCATCACATCTTTTGGGCTCTCGTTTCCCCCCCCCACCATATTATTTCCCTGGGAGTCGACGATGACTTGAGTCTGTGTGTGCTTTTGTCCTCCTCCTCCTCCTCCTCCTCCTCCTCCTCCTCCTCCTCCTCCTCCTCCTCCGGACTCTCGCCCACGAGCCAAAGGGCCGGCCCTCCTCCAGCCGGGAGCGCCAGCGGCGCGGCTCGCTCCCCAGCAGGTCCGACCAGCTGCCGCACGCCTCGCGCGGGGGCCGCAGGCACCATGCAGGCGGCGGCGCCGGCTTGCCAAGCGCATTCTCGCATACAAGCTCGTGGTCCTCCGTCGACATTGCGATGGGTTCTCTCGCCGCCGTGTCTCCCAAGCTGTGCTCCAGGGGAGTGCAAAACCGTGCTGCGCACCGGCATCTTGCCTCACCCTCCACACCTGCCGGACCGGAGACGCACCCGATGATGTCAAGGGCCGAACTCGGAGCCGACCGGGCTCGGAGCCAACCGAACTCGCACGTCGCACCCCGACCGGACTCGGACCCCGACCGAGCTCGGGCCAAGACGAGACTCGGAGCCGACCGAGCTCGGACCCCGACTTGACTCGGACCCAGACCGAACTCGGACCCAGACCGCCGCGCCGCAGCGGTAACGCCAGGTCCGAATGCAGCTGTGTCCGAGTCCAGTCGGGTCCGAGTTCAGTCCCTCTGATCGCCCCCCGCGCCGCCACGAAGGGCTTCGGGGAAGGAAGGTGCGTGTTTTGCGATTCTGTTTGCCACGGCTGGACGCAGCTTGCACGACCGACAAGGACGAACCACGGAGGAGGCGTGGGGATTGATTTGAGCAGGTCTTGGTCGGGCGGTGAGCGTCTCGAGGAAGACGAGGCGGAGGTTCTTCGCCGAACAACCTTCGGGTACCGTTTTCGGGCCCACGCACGGGCCGTCCGAAAGAGACCCCAGGAAAAAAAACGGCAGCAGGGAAGTGGTCGGGAGGTCGAAGGGCCGCGCGGTGAAGAAGGCGAGACGCCAGAGGTCTGGTCGCGGATAGGGGAGACTCGCCATCGCTCATACGTCCATTCCTCGTGTATCTTTCGGTCTCGCGCGGGCCTGTGTTGCCGGATGATCCAGGATGCTCCTCGATGGTCCCCGCCGAGAAGCATGCACACGTTCCAGCGATGCCGTAGGGGAGAAAAGGGGGCCCTGACAGGGGTGCCCCGGCGTGTCCCCCCGCGTTGGAGTCCGGGGCAGGCCCTGCCACGAGGGAGACCTCACGCGGGGAAGTAATGTGACGCCGCTCGGGCACCCAGGGCCGCCCAGGGACGACCTCCGGCGGCGTCCCCGCAGACGGCTCTCGGCGACCGAGGCGTGCAGCCGCTGGAAGTTCGACGCCTTTCGACTAGGGGATCGACGCCTTTCGACTAGGGGATCGACTACCGAGTTGATATACTCCCGAATTGATTTCCCGCCAAGGCCAAGAAAAACACATGGAATGCCCCTCAAAGCTGCGGACATTCTACGCGCTTCTTCTATACTCGGCGGGACAATCAGTAGTGGAGCAAATCAATTCTGTAGCCGCTCCCCTATTCGGGCCTTGGGGCCGAAGAAGATCGATGCCCGAACGAACCGGACAAAACCGCGCGTGAGCCGTCGGGACGGCCGCGTGAGCCGGCACCGCTATCCATCCGCCGGCGAGGCGACGCCGCTGTCGCGAGAGCGTGACCCAGCGCTGTGGGCGAAAGGCAGGGGGAACAAGCAGTACCAGAATTAGGTCGGGCATGTCCTCCTACAGGCGGATTTGGGATGAAATATACTAGGAAAAAATAGATTCCCAAACTATTAAATAGTCAACAATTGTCTCTCTCACGCACACACACACACACGCACACGCACACGCACACACACACACACCACCACCACCACCACCACCACCAACAACAACACCAACACCAACACCAACACCAACACCAACACCAACACCAACACCAACACCAACACCAACACCAACACCAACACCAACACCAACACCAACACCACCACCACCACCACCACCACCACCACCACCACCACCAACAACAACAACCACAACCACAACCACAACAACAACAACAACAACAACAACAACAACAACAACAACAACAACAACAACAACAACAGTCCCCTGACTATGTTTTGACTAGTTGGGAATACTCCTCCTGTAGAGGCCAAACATTTTATGCCAGAAGCACAGGTAGAAACCTGCGGAGGTCCGCGCGAACCCCTCGGGTCTCGGCGCAGGCCCCCCCCCTCCCTCCCTGGCTCGCGGGGCGGCGCCGGAGGCGCCGCCGCAGGGGCCGCGGCGCCGATCCGGGAGATCCGCGCGGACCTTCGAAAGTTTATGATTATCATGGCGTTGCTCAAGGGAGAAGGCCTTCTCAGAAGGCGGCGGGGCCTCTCGGGAGCCCTCCCGCCTTCTGAGAAGTCTCGTATGATTATCCTCGGGGGAGACTTGGGAAAACTTCTGGAAAGGCTGGGGAGCGTTTTGAGAAGGCCGGCCCGCCCCTCCTCGCTTCCCCCCCCATCTGCGAGGCAATGATTTATCCATGTCCACCGCCTGGGAACCGACGCCCTGGTGCCCCAGCGGGCGGTGGATATGGATATACTTTGGCCCCCGAGGGCCCGACTATATCCATATCCACCGCCTGTGGAGGTCCGCGGGGATCGATCCCCCATGGGGTGGATATGGATAAATTCCGGCCTCGAACCATCGCTCGCCGCCGATTGGTCCCCGAAGGCAGGCGGGACGTAGCCGCTGGCGCGCCAGCGGACTGCCTCGAGCACGCGGCGGCACACCGCGGCCAGCGCGCCGCGGGCCCTGGGAGGGGCCCTGCGGAGGCCAGGGCGGGGCTGCCCGCGGTCCGCAATCTACACAAAAAACCACGCCCCGTGGAGGGAACTTTGTGCACCAGGCCCACGACCAGGACCCTCGCCCCCCCCCCCCCGCCCGGGCTGCTCTGGGGTATAGCATACCTTCGGGCGGACCAGGTCATCACCCACCTCTTGGCCGCTCCAGACTCGCGCCGCCGCGCTGCCCCGCCCCCCTGGACGCATGAAAACCGCCCCCCGCCCCCCGCATGAGGAACTTTGGACCAAGCAGTCCGCGCGCGCGCCCACCCACCCCTGCGGCAACTGGCAATAGCCTCGCTTACCGGAAGCCTACACTTGAGCAGGGACCGACCGTCCTGGAATGTTCTTAGAACCAAAGATGTTCTAAGAACAAAAACAATGTGCTTAGAACAGAAGCCCGATGTGATAAAACAAGACAGACTCCGCCAGAAATATTCTGAGAACATGTCTTGGAAACCACAAAAGGTTCTTAGAACCTTGTGCAGTAGGCCTATAGGCGAGCCAGGGCGCCTCGCCACTGCCTGATACAGATACCCCTCCGATGCACACTTCGCCATAACCGCAAAACGTTGACGCGTACCGTCCGTTGCTGTCGGGGCTGGGCTCGGTTCCCCGCTGCTCCCCCCCCCTCTCCGGCCCAGCCCGCGCAGCGCCGGGCGACCGAGCGAGCACGCCTCGGCGGGCGGGGCCCGTCGCCGACCCACCTGGGGGCCTCCGCGGTCGACGGGCTGCCTGCCGCGCTGACACCGGGTCGGGCGCGTCTTCCTGCAGGAGTTGAGAAGAAAGATGGCAGAAGAGCCAGAACAAACTCAGACGTGGTGAAAATTGGTCGACGAATCGCCCCCGGAAGATGCTTTGACTATCTCTGGACACTCCTCCTGTAGAGGGACATGCCCGGCTTCAGTCTGACGGCCGCGCTCCGCGGCGCCCTCCGCGCGGGGCGGCCGAGCCAGAGACCAAAGTCGGAGGCCTAGAGGTTGACGCCGACACCCAGGTCGGCGGTGTGCCACACGATCCCGCTCTCGGCGATGGCGGTAAGATTCGGGCTTTCCAGGTGGCCGAGGCATGACCACCAACAGCCGGATCCAGGATCGTCTCCCCCCAGTGGCGGCAGCCCCCGGTGTTGGTGTTGGTGCAAAGTTCCAAGCCTCCAACAAGGGCCCTGCCGGCGGCCTCCACCGAGGCGGCGTCGTCGACGGCGGCGACGCGGGCGCGGACGAGGACGCGCATGCGTGGACGTCGACGTCGGCGTGTGCGACGATGGCGGCGACGTCAACATCGACGACGACGTCGGCGTGTGCGACGATGGCGGCGACGTCAACATCGACGACGACGACGACGACGACGACGACGACGACGACGACGACGACGACGAAGGCGGCGGCGGCGGCGGCGGCGACGACAACGATGACGCCGACGACGGCGGCCAGGACGACGCCCACGACGATAACGACGACGACGCCGACGGCAGCGACGACGACGACGACGACGAAGACGACGCAGCCGCCGCGGCCGCCGCTGACGACGACGACGACGACGACGCGACGGGGCGCGGCAGCGGCGACGGCGTCGGCGGCGTCGGCAGCGTCGGCGTCGACGACGTCGATGCGGATGACGGTGGTGACCTCGACGACCACGCCGGCGGCGGCGGCGACGGCCACGTGCTCGCCGCCGAGGCTAAGACGTCGATGCCGACAGTGGCAATGCCGACGACGGCAGCGACGGCAGCGCTGGCGACCTCCAGCGAGGCGGCGGGAGTCGGCGGGCCCGAGCTGCGCCGGCTGCGCTGGCGGCCCCCCGCGCTGGCGCTGGCGGACTCGGCGCTGGCAGGCCGGGAGCCGAGTCCGTCGGCGGCGAGCGGCGACTGGAGGCGCCGGCGATCCTCGGCCGGCGTCGAAGCCGACGAGCCCGGTCGGGCGCCGGCGCCGCCGACGACGGCGGCGACGGCGACAACGCCAACGACGACGCCGACGGTGAAGGAGGGAGGAGGGAGGGGGAAAGGATGGAGGAGGGGAGGGAGCGAGGAGGGGGCGAGGAGGGGAACGGGAGGAGGAGGAGGAGGAGGAGGAGGAGGAGGAGGAGGAGGAGGAGGGGGAGAAGGAGGAGAAGGAGGAGGAGGAGGGGGGGCCTATCCGATGCAGCCTCCCATCATTTCCATCCTCCCCTTCTCCTCCTCCTCCTGCTCCTGCTCCTCCGGCTCTTCCTACTGCTGATGCTGCTGCGCCTCCTTCTACTCCTCGATCCCTCTCCGTCATACGCAACTAATTATCGTCGGAGCACCAGACGCGTTTGCAGGGCAGGCCAGGCGTTTGGCCTTAGACTTCATCAACGCTTGCGAACGACTCTCAAGACGTGGCGCTCCCCATAGCGCTGCGCGCATTCGTTTTTGAAACCGTCCAACCATTACGCAGGTGAACGTTTTTTATTCGGCATTTCGACATTGGGCGGAAGGGGGGGGTCTGGCTCCAGACCTCTGCTGAATGTGACTGTTTGCAACAATGCAAACTTTGGGGGAGACTCCCTCTGCCTGAAACAGGCGACAAAAACAGCAAAGATCTACTCCACGGAGAGGGGGGGAGGGGTGAGAGGGCCCGCGCCGATCAGCACAACAATGAATAATAAAACGATCGCATTCGGATCTTTCTCAGAACGAGGCTCTTGTAAAAGCGATGCGCATATTCGTTGATAAGGCCCCAAAATATTACAGAGGTGAGTATCGTTGTTTTTTTTGTAAGTGTGGCTCGGCGCCACGCGGCTCTCCGAAAATAGGCGTGCTCTGCAGTGCTCAATGCCTGGAACAAACATTGCGCACGCCTCCTCTACTTCACCTTCCTACGATAGTGACCACTTCCGTGGTTCTCGCAATGCTTAAAGCAACTCCTATGCATACCCTTGCACTCCGCTTGTATTACCAAGAAACTCCATGTGTGTCCTATGTATTCCCACGTAGTCCTATGTATGAGAGGACGAGCCCGTGGCGCACTATCAAGGGGGGGGTCCCCTTTAGCTACCCCCCCTGCCTTGGACTTGCCCCTACCGGAAGGCCCCCCCCCTCTCCTTTTGTTTCCGCCCCTCGGAAGCTACCCTGCCCCTCCCTTGCGCGCGCTGGAAGCTACCCCCCCCTACAGGGGGGAGGGCTTAGCTACCCCACCCCACTCAACATCCCCTGCCGGAGGCCCCCCCCCCTTTTGCCCCCGCCCCTCAGAAGCTACCCCCCCCCCCCCACACTTCCCACTTTCGCGCTCTGGAAGCGACCCCCCTCCCTCCCTTTCCAGAGGGGGGGGGGGGGCTTCGCTACGCCCCCCCACTTTGTGAACCTCCCCTGCCGGAAGCCCCCGCCCCCCCTGGCTTAAGGAAGAAGCGCCGAAGACCCAAAGAGCACTGAAAGCGAACAGAGCGCCAAAAACCAGAGAGCCACCGAAAACCGCAAGGGTACGAAAACCAGAGGAGCCGAAAACTAAAGAAGTGCTGACAACCGAAAAGCATGGAAAACCAAAACGGCTCCGACAACCAAGCATGCCCCGACAACCAAAGGAGCACCGAAACCGAAAGGAGCGCCGAAAACCAAAGGATCGCCGAAAGCAAAAAGGGCGCCGACAACCAAAAGGGGGCCGAAAAGCAAAGGGGTGCCGAAAACCGAAAGAGCGCCGAAAAGCAAAGGGGCGCCGAAAACCAAAAGGCGCCGAACGCATAACCAACGCCGACACCCAAGAGGCACTGAAAATAAAAAAAAAACTCCAAAAACTAGCGGGGCACCCAAACTCAAAGAGACACCGGAAACCAAAAGAGCGCCGAAAACCAGAGCAGCGCCGAACACCTAAAGGGCGCCGAAACCCAAAAGGCGCCAAAAACCAAAGGGTCGTCGGACTTGAAAAGGACGCCGGAAATCAAAGGGGTGCCGAAAACCAAGGAAGCGATGAAAACCAGCGGAGCGCCGAAAACCAACGATGCACCGAACGCCAAAAGCCAAAAGGGCACCGAAAAACCAATGAGACGCCGATAACGAAAAGGGCGTCGAAAACCAGATGGCGCCAAAAACGGCGCGCAGACGGCCGAAGGGCGCCCAAAAGCAAAGGGGCGCCGAAAACCAAAGAGCGCCGAAAACCAAAATGGCGCCGAAAACCAAAGGGGCGCCGAAAACCACAAGGGCGCCGAAAAGCAGAGGAGCGCCGAAAACCGAAAGACCGCCGAAAACCAAAGCAGCGCCGAAAGCCAAGGGGGCGCAGAAAACCAAAAGGAGGACGAACACCAACAAAACGCCGAACACAAAAAGAGATGCTCCGTAAACCAATGATGCGCCTGAAAACAAAAAGACACCGAAAAACAAAAAACCAAAGAAGCACCGAAAACCAAAAGGGCGCCCAAAACCAAAGGGGCGCCGAACACCCGAGGGGCGCCGAAAACCAAAAGAAACGCCGAAAACCCAATGAGCGTCGAAAACGAACGATGCGCCAAAAAGCAACAGGGCCCCGAAAAGTTTGAAGTGGCGCCGATAACCGAAAAGGGGCCGAAAACGAGAGGGGCGCCGAACACAACAGAAGCTCCGAAGACGGACAGGGCGCCGAAAACAAATACAACACCGAAAACCAAAGAAGCGCCGAAAACCAAAGGAGCGCCGAAAATCGACGTTGCGCCGAAAGCCAAAAGGGCGCCGGGAAACCAAAGACGCGCCGATAACCTAAAGGGCGTCGAAAACAAAATGGCGCCAAAAACGAAAGGCGCGCAGATGGCCGAATGGCGCCCAAAACCAATGCGGAAACGAACACCAAAGAGCGCCGACAACCAAAACGACGCCGAAAACTAAAGGGGCACCGAAAAACAAGAGGGCGCCGAAAACCAAGAGGGCGCCGAAATCCAAAGGAGCGATGGAACCCAAGAGGGCGCCGAAAACCAACAAAGCTCCGAAAACTAACAGTGGTCCGCAGAAAACCAAACAGAACGTCGAAAACGAAAGGAGCGACGAAAACCACATGAGCGCCAAAAACCAAAGGAGCGCCGAAAACTTTAAGTAGCGCCGAAAACCAAGGAAGCGCCAAAGGCCCAACACGCGCCGAAAACAAAAAAAACACCGAAAACTAAAGAGACATCGAAAACCACAAGTACGCCGCAAACCAACGAGGCGTCGAAAACCAAAGAAGAACAGTAGCTTCGAACCACCCCTTCAGCCAGGGCCCTCCGGCTGGGAAAGCCAACAGAAGGAGGGGAGGGGGGGTAGCTTCGGAAGCTCCCCTCCCCTTTGGAGAAGGGGAGCCCGGGCTGACCCCGGACCCCGAGACGGAGGGGGGGAGCTTCCAAGCCCCACCCCCCTTTCAGCCGGGGACCCCCAGCTGCAAAATCCAAACAGAAGGAAGGGGGGGTAGCTTCGGACCCCCACCCCTTCGAAAGGGGAGCCCAGGCTGACCCCCGGCCCCAAAAATGGAGGAAGGGGCAGGGGTGCTTCCAAGCCACCCCCCCCTTGGGCCCCCCAGCTAAAAGATGCCCACAAAAGGGGGGAGGCGGGGGTAGCTTCGGAAGCCCCCCCCTTCCGATAGTCCTGTCGGTATTCCATGGGGTCCTACGGACGGAGCAGTGCCCAATGAGATTCAACGACGACGAACATGGAGTCAAAAGGAGTCCAATACAGTCCAATGGATTGAAATGGAGCCCAATGCAGCACAATTGAGTCCAGTAGAGTTCTACGGAGTATGGAGCCCACTGAAGTCAAATGAAATCCAACGGAATCCATGAAGTCCAATAGACTCTAAAGCAGCACGATGGGAGCCTACAGAGCCCTATGGGGATTCCTTTGGTGAGTCCTATGAAATCAAATGGAGACGTTTCAAACAATTCGACGATTCTTTTTGGAGGCAACGCCAATTCGTCGCGCACACTCGTGCAGAAAGCTTCCATCAAGTAGGATGGAAGGCGGCAACGGCAAGATTGTGAAACGTGACTCTCGATGTATACCTAATCCACTCGACAACAAGGTATCAATACAGAGCGCGCAGGAGCCGAAAGCCAGGATCATCGCTTGGCATTGTCTTGCATGTCATTCGACCTCTTCGCATTCCCACTACGCGGATGCCTCAGAGCCCAAAACTGCTTCGCCTTCCGACCATTCTCGCAACCCGAAACTGCGAGGATGCCTCAGGCGAAACGGGCTGGACCACCTCGCGCGCGACATCTGGGAGCTCAGAGCTGCGAAGATGTCTCAGCGAGGGCGCTTACGCGCGACCTTACGCGGGCAGCTTGCGCGCCAATGTCCGCGCAGACGATGCCCCCTCTCCCCCCTTCTCCAGCCCTCCCCCCCTCCACCCCAAGCCATCCCAGACGCCCGACGCCTCGATTCTTGTTCGTGACTTGGGCCCCCGGACCTCTCGACGCAATCTGAACGTCGAAACAAAGCGGGTCTTACGCGAGATGGCGAAGCGACCTTACGCGATGGTCTACGCGGGCCGCCAGCGCGGCACGCCACACTGAAGCGAGGGCACTCACGCGCGACCTTACGCGGGCACCTTGCGCGCCAGTGCCGACGCAGACGAGGCCGTTTGTTTGCGCAGCTCCTCTGGCGGCATCTGCGAGCGAAGAACATTAGAAACAACTTGTTCGCCGTCGGGGGCGCCCGTCCCAGGGCGGCTGGAAAGTTTGTACCCTCACGGTGCCACGTAGCGATCAGAATTTCGAAGCGAACCCAGCGGTGGCGACGAGGGCGTTCCAAGAGGCCCCAGAAGGGGAAATCGAGGCGAGAGTGCTGATGTGGGCACCTTTGCCTCCCCTGGGTCCCAAGGCTCCTGAGGGGGCGCTCCTCGGCCCCTGCCGTGAGCACCCACGAGCCACTACGAGCCCAAAAGGAGCCCACGAGGGCATCGGGCCCGGGACGCCCCCGAGGCTCCCCCCCTGAAGAGCCTCCCTCCCAGCGGTCAATGCACACCCGGGCCAGTCAGGCCGGGCAAGACCGGAGATCGCTTGACCCGGGTCAATGTACACCCGGGTCAGTCAGGCCATGCAGGATCCTGCAAAATACTGCAGGATCCTGCACCCAAGCCCGGGTCAAGGCAACCCTGGCGCTGCAGGATCCTGCAAGCTCTGGCGCTCTGACTGACCCCCGTTTGCGTTGACCCCCGTGTCTTGAGCCCCGACCGTCCATCCGTGAAGCTCTTGCAACATGGAGGAGGAGGAGGAGGAGGAGGAGGAGGAGGAGGAGGAGGAGGAGGAGGAGGAGGAAAAGGAGGAGGAGAAGGAGGAGGAGGAAGAGGAAGAGGAGGACGATGAGGAGGAGGACCATGAGGAGGAATCGATCCCGCAAGACCCCAGTCGGATCCTCCTGAAGGCCACATACCTAGCGCAAGCCCTCGCTGCGGAACAGCGCCTCGCCTCGGGCCCCCCCACGCCTTGTTGAGACCGCCCCGTGGCCCCCGAAGTTCAAGCAGGGGGATCCGCTACAACATTGATGCACCCCAGAATTAGTTTTCTCGTCCAAACTACGAACACCTACGTATGTGCTGCTCGTACATCTACGAGCATTATACGTATGGTTCGTAGACTCGACGAGCACATCAATCTGGGGGTAAATCAGTTCTGTTGTCGATTCCCTACTTCGCAAGTGGGCCCCGCCCCCGGGAGGCCCGCGGCTTGGAGCAGCTCGCCGCCGCCATCGCTCCGAGACGCCGTGGGCCTGGGGGCCCTCACCGTTGAGGTCCAAACCCCGAGAGGCGTCCCTGCTGGGTGCGCTCTGGCCGAGAGCTTCGGCTCGACTCTGCGCCGTGGCGGCGATGACCTCCCGAGGAGCTTCCGAGGTTCTCCTCCCTCCGCGCGCATGGAAGCGCGCACGGGAGGAGGAGGAGGAGGAGGAGGAGGAGGAGGAGGAGGAGGAGGATACGCCCTGTGCGTGCGAGCAAGACACGCGAGGAGCGAGGATGACGATGTTGATGCTGATCTTGATATGAGACGATGATGATGGTGACGGTGAGGATGAGGAGGGGGACGCTGACGACCTCATCCTGCCCGCGTTTTGTCGTGAGGATCCTCGAGATGCATGACTCTTGGGCATGATCAGAAATGACTCGCCTCGGCCCCAGGACATGGCCGACAAGCGGTGTGGAGCGAAGCCTGAAGCGGTCGTGACAGAAGCAGTGGCGCTGGAGATGCACTGCCCAAGTTGTGTATAACAAGCACACGCACGCCATGCCACCCCGCACGACCGCCCGTTCTGCCCGCCCCCTGCCACGCCTGCCGAAACCACCCCTCCGCAAATGATCCCCAGCCCACACACGCACCGCGAAGGACAGCCCACATACCTACACCCCCGTTGATCCATGTTTGCGATTGCCTGGCAGAAGCAATTGCGCTGGAGATGCACTGCCAAGTTGTGTAACAAGCACACGCACGCCATGCCACCCCGCCCCGCCCGACGGCCCGTTCTGCCCACCCCGCCACGCCTGCCGAAATCACCCCCACAAAAGTGATCTCCACCCCACACACGCACCGCGAAGGACAGCCCACTCCCTACACCCCCGCGCAGGTCCACGCTCCACCCCCCACACGATCATTGGACAACTCGGAATGACCATCATTTGATGGGCAAATTTTCCATCAACATTACCGTATGTAGGACGGGGGGGAGGGAGGATGGGGAGGTCCTCCTCCTCCTCCTCCTCCTCCTCCTCCTCCGCCTCCTCCTCCTCCTCCTCCTCCTCCGCCTCCGCCTCCGCCTCCTCCGCCTCCGCCTCCGCCTCCGCCTCCGCCTCCGCCTCCGCCTCCGCCTCCGCCTCCTCCTCCTCCTCCTCCTCCTCCTCCTCCTCCTCCTCCTCCTCCTCCCTCTCCTACCTATGGTGGTGGTAGTGGTGGAAAATTGGCCCATCAAACTCGGAGTAACCATCGTTTGTGCTGGGGCTCACGCGGACGTCCTGGGTGGGCGCTGGACCCCGCCCCTTGCGCACATCCTGTCCCGCCCGGGGAGCGCGCCAGGGGCGGCGTCTAGGCTTCCCGGTGGGGGTCCACCTCCAAATCAAGATACCCGCGCGGAGCTCCCAAATAGTGTGATCCGTTACGTCATGATTTATTGTCCTGCCGCCGTCCAACATGGAGAGCTGTCTTGCAGGAAAGCGGCCCCGGATGTTTTGTCCACTGGCTTCAGCCACGTGCGGCCCTGCACGGGCCTGGGACCACTCAGGATGAAACCCCCGGGGTCTACAAAACTTGTGGCAATGAACGCGGCACCGTCTGGCGGCTTTCGACGATCCGCCATCGTTGGGGGGCCCCATCAAATCTGAGGAGCGCTTCGGACACTCTTCGCCAAGCGGTGCCTTCGAAGTTGACGGGCGAACTGGGCTCGTGGCTGCATGTCCCCCCGCAAGCGCGACTTCAACTGTCTCCCTGTTATGGCTGGACGTGCAGGACCCGTCCCCCCCTTACCCTATCGGCGCCGCCTTGGATCCGAATTGCGGTCGTGGCTAAGGCAGGGCGGAGGAGCAGGAGGAGGAGGAGGAGGAGGAGGAGGAGGAGGAGGAGGAGGAGGAGGGCTGCTGTGGTGCGAATGGGGCGGTCCTGCCGGAAAGCGCCCCCTCCCCTCACGCGGCGAATCTTCAGTCGGGCGTGGCCCCCTACAGGGGGATTTTCGACGAAAAAATTCGCCGGCCCAACGGGCCAGAGGCGTGCTAAGATCTCCGGCAACTGGTTAACAATATTTCTAGTTCGCGCGCGCGGGGCGGCCCCTGGGGTCCCCCGGCGAAAAGTATCCCGACCGCAGCCCGAGCAGGTCTACTCAGAGATGGTTTTGAGGGCCTTTTTTCGACACCTCTCACGAGGATCGTGGCCTCCGAGGGGGGTGCACTCGACTACCCCGCCCCAAGAGGCCCCCAAGAGCCCCCCAAGAGGCCCAAGGGGGCCCCAAGACGCCGCCAAGGAGCCCCAAGAGACCCCCAAGAGGCCCCAAAGAGGCCCCTAGGAGGCCCCAAAGAGGCCCCCAAGAGGCTTCAAAGAGGCCCCATAGAGCGCTCGAGGGCCGGCGGAATGAGCGAAGCGATTAAATATTCAGAAAACACTCCAAAAAAGTTTAAAAAAATACTAGAAAAATCGTCCCCAGACTATTGTTTGACTATGTTTGAAAACTCCTCCTGTAGAGGGACGGGCCCGACTTCAGGCGAGCCGTGCGCCCCGTCCGCTCCTGCGGGCGGTGGTGCGGGCCCCCGGGCTCCGCGAGGGGCGGCGCCGGGCAGGGGCGGCCCGAGAGCGCCGCGGCCTGCGCTGCCGGGGGGGCGGGCGGGCGGGCGCCACCGCGGGCCCCGGGCACCACAGCGGCGATGCGGGCGAGCGTCCTCGTCCTCCTCGTCCTCCTCCTCCTCCTCCTCCTCCTCCTTCCTTCCTTGGGCTCGTGGTAACTAGCCAGAATCAAAGGGCAAAGGACGGGGGGGCGGGGGGGGCGCGCGCGAATCCTAGCGCTGCACCTACGCGATTGCCCCAAACGGGGCGTCGCGCCCTCCGCGGGCGCGAGCGCAAGGCGGGCGGGGGTGGAGGCGGCGGAGGCTCGCGCGCGCACAACTCCGCGCGCAGGAAACAACCATATATGGCCCACGGCGCGTGTATGAAAAGGGGCGCCGGTTTAACACTTGAAACCGGGAAGCGCCTGCAACTTCACATTTTAACACACTGTCCTTGTCGGTCTGTAAGAGCGTTCAAAACGGCCCTGCCCCCACCCAAAAGACCCCCAACATATCCCCCCAGTCCAGAGGCCTTGTCAAAATGCTCAGGAAGCCACCGAGGCTGCCCTTACGAGCTCCCAAAGAGCGCCCAAGAAACACCACGCGGCACCTCCGACGCGCGCCCGAAGAGGCACCCGTTCCGCCTCCAGGGAGCCCCAGAAGAGCCCCCCCTTTCCGAGCAACCCAGGGGGAGTTTGAAGTAGCAGTGCCACGCCATGTATGTATAGGGATTGAAGACAATGGTGTGGAGAAGGATGGCGACGGGATGTGATAAGAGCCTTTGTGTCAGTCCCGGCGCCAACACTGGCAGATAGGGCGGCGCTGCTTTGAGACGGGGCAGCAGCGGATAGGCAAGCATATAATGTAGCCCCCAAGCAGACTCCCTCAAAATAGCGGGCCTCCAAGAGGACCCTTGCCCACGACCCAGGTACGGCCGCGGAGCGGGCAGAAGGCCTCTCGTAGATTCGCCCTCCGAAGGATCAAGGATCCCGGATCCCCCTCGGGGTGGGGATCCAGGATTTCTGGGCGCGCCGACGCGGGGCGGGGTGGGGGAGACTCGGGGACCGCGGTGCCAACAGACAAGCTACCGCGGCCGCGGGGGGGCTGGGGCGCTGGTTTCGAAAGCATGTGGGCGTGGGCGGGGCGCGGGCGTGGGGCGGCGAGTCTCACAAGATAGCGCCAGGGCGGAAGGAGGCAGCCGCTATGGCGCGGTCACGACGCGGCCGCCAGGCGGCTGCAATGCTGTCCACGAGTCTCCCCGGAAAGGGCCCCGAGACGCCCCCCGACGGCCCGCGCGAGCCCAAGAGCCCCCACCGATCCCCCACGAACGACCAAGACGGCGGCGGCGGCGGCGGCAGCGACGACGACGACGGCGACGGCGACGGCGACGACGACGACGAGGACGAGGATGAGGACGAGGACGAGGACGACGACGACGACGACGACGAGGACGACGACGACGACGACGACGACGACGACGACGACGACGACGACGACGAAGGCGACGATGGCGCCGACGGCGGCGGCGACCGCGACGATGGCGGCGACGACCGCAGCGGCGACGACGGCGCCGACGGCGGCAGCGACGACGACAGCGGGCCTGGAGGCTGGCGGCGGCGGCCCCGCCAGCGGAGTCTGGCGCGGCGGCGGCGGCGGCGGGCGCCGAGGCCGCCTGGCGCCGCCGCCGCGGCGAGGGAGTCGGGCGGGGGCGCCCAGTCGGTCCTTTCTGGCTCCCTCTCGGCGCGGAGCGCAAGGCCATCAGAGCGCACGAGAAGGGCGGCATCCAGCACCCATCGGTCGGAAGAAGTAGGTAGAAACATGAAGTGGGAAGGCGGATAAAGTAGATTTGGGCTCGGGCCCGCCCGGAGAGTAACACGACGCAGCAAAAGCATCACGACTCTTGAAGCGGGGAGACGCCAAACTCCAAAAATACCTACTTTCAACGACCGACGGGTAGGGCATGAAGCAGGCGGGCCCTGGCGGCAACGGGCCCCATGAAGCCCCGGCAGGGGCCCTGCCCGCCGACCGGCAGCCCCGTCCAGAGAGAGTCGCGTCCTGGCCCGTGGCTCCCCAGGGGCCCGCGAGGAGGGGGCACGAAGAGGCCAATAGCGGCGGGGAACTTCGGGGCCCGTGCCCCTCAGGGCACGATGGCGACCGGTGCGATCGCTATGACACGCCATCGCTCGGACGTCCACTCCCCGTGCATGAGTTTGGCTTCGTTCGCGTGTGTGTACGTGTTTTTGCTCGCGCGATGGTCCAGGATGCTCCTCGATGGTTCTCTCCGAGAAACAAATGCACACGTCCGAGCGATGCCAAGCGTGACTGCAGCCTGCGCATGACGCCGCGCAGTGGACTGCGGCTCAGCGACTTCTGGTCAGACCGAGGCGAGGGCGTGCACTCCCCATCGGGTCCTCCGGCCGCGCAGGGCCGACGTCCCGGGAGCGCCCCGAGCCCCCCTCCTGCGAGGTGCCCCACTTTGACGGAAGCTCCGAGGGCCAAGGGGCTGCCTAGCAGACCACCCCAACCAACCCAGCCAAAAGGCCTACATTTCGGGGGGGGGGGGGACGGGTTCCACGTCTGCTTTTGTCAAATGCTCCCCGACGCCCCCACCACTGGAATTGGAGGGCAAACTGGGGCCGTTGGGTTGGGTCGGGGTGGTTCGGTGGGTGGGTGGAGGGGGGGGGGGCCGCCGCTCTCTCGGAGCCCCAGGCAGCAGCCGCCTGCGCAGTCCAGCGGCCCCGTCGGGCGGCCGGCAGCAGGCGCACCCCCCCAGGCCCTCCTCGGTGTAGGCACTTGCGGGTGGTGTCGGCACAGGCGTGGTGAGGCTTGGCGCCCGGACCCGAAACCAGCTGGAGATCCCAGGCGTGAACAGAACGGCGACGGCAGGACCTCAGGGCCGCCCAGGGCGGCAAGCGGGACGGCGGCGACGACGACGAGATCGTTGTACATGCAATGTCCTGGTCCTCCCAGGCCAGCTGTTCATTCTGAGCCGTTTTTTGACAGTACTGGAGCCCGAGACCGGCCCCAGGAGGCCGAAGACAAAGAGAACTCTGTCTAATGATTTGTGTTGTTTCGATACGATGGAGGTGTGGGAAGCGGCGGGAGGGAGGGGGCGACGGCAAAGCGACGGCGACGTCGATGCCAACGTCGATGACGGCGACAGCGACGCCGACAACAGCGGCGCCGACACCGACAGTGCCGACGTCGATGCAGATGCCGACGCCGACACCGATGCCGACGCAAACGCCGACGCCGACGACGACAACGATGCCGACGCCGACGACAACAACAACAACAACAACAACAACAGCAGCAGCAACAACAACAACAACAACCACAACAACAACAACATTAACAACAACAACAACAACAACAACACCAACAACAACAACAACAACAACAACAACAACAACAACAACAACAACAACAACAATCACTTTACCCGAACGCTCAGTGTTCTCACCAGTGCCAGGGTTTTCATGCGACGCCAGCCAATACCCCCACTTTGTGGGGGGGCAGTGCAAGCTCTACCAAATATCCACACGACTCTTCGCCACCACCCACACCCAGCTTCCCGCCCTATGACGTTCGGACACTTCACTTCGTGGCCTGCGGACGACCGTGGCTACTACACTGGCGTGGAGTACACACCCACAGAAGTTGTTAGGACAGCGCGCGCGGGTAGAAATTTTGAAAAGTCGTGCAGGTGTTTTTCGAGGACCTACGGTGCGATTCGTGTGATTTTATGATGCGCGGTGCTAAAATTCTTAAGAAGCCCAATGGTTTTTGGAGATTTCGGCGTGCGCGCGCGAAGAAAAAACGAATGTGTCCCGCATGGTATTATTTGACAGGGATGATGGCCCTGGCAGGTGCGCAACCGTTGTCGCAGAAGTTCGAAAAAGTTGCTCGCAAAAGCCCGTTTGACAGAAATGTTTAAAAAGTGTTGGGTTTCCTACGAATCCGCAAGAGCGCGCGGGATGAGATTTTGACATTTTTTTGTTGAAAAACCATTGGTTTTTTGATGTTTTTATGTTAAAATCGCTCCGAACACTAAGCTTTTGGAAGGATTTCGTCTTGCGCGCGCGAATGTCCACTTTACCTTATTTTTTGCAAGGGATTCTTGAAATTTGATTATATTAGAACAAGAAATGTCATTTTATAGTGTTTTTTGCAAGGGAAAACGGATTACAACAAAACAACCGGATCTGGACCCCATCCACTTTTCTGAAGCTTTCGCGAAAAAATGATGAAAATGTAGCTGCGGCCTAGGCGCGGCGGGGGGGCCGTGCACCAGGGGTCCCAACAATAATTATTCTTTAGAATTAATAATGTTCAACAACAACAACAACAACCACAACAACAACAACATTAACAACAACAACAACAACAACACCAACAACAACAACAACAACAACAACAACAACAACAACAACAACAACGACAACGACAACGACAACGACAACGACAACGACAACGACAACGACAACAACGACGACAACGACACCGACGGCGCTGAAGACGGCGCCGAGGCTGGCGCCGGCGCTGGCGCCGGCGACACCGACGACGACGTCGACGACAACGACGACGACGACGTCGACGACGACGACGGCGGCGGCGGCGGCGGCGGCGGCGAGGTGGGCCGCCGGCGTCGGCCCGCCAACGGCCTCCATCGGGGCCGCTCCGCGGGGCGGCGGGCGCTCGGCGCGAGCCGCGGCGGCTGCGGCCAGCGGCCAGCGGAGGCACGAAGCGAAACGGAGGCCGCATCCGCAGTGTGGGTCGCTTCGTTCTCCTCCCTCCAACCTCCTCCTCCTCCTCCTCCTCCTCCTCCTCCTCCTCCTCCACCTCCTCCTCCTCCATCCAACCTCCTCCTCCTCCTCCTCCTCCTCCTCCCAACCTCCTCCCTCCAACCTCCTCCGCCTCCTCCTCCGCCTCCTCCTCCTCCTCCTTCTCCTCCTCCTCCCCCGCTGGCACGGCAGCGATGCTCCGAACAAGTGTGATAAAACAACTTGACATATGTGATAAAAAACGTGTGGAAATATGGTAT